ACAATAACAAGAACAGCAACAAGAACACAACAAAATGCAACAGCAAGAAGAGAAAACAACCCGACGCACCCCCCCTTGAATAAATACGAATTCCGTAAAAAAAACAACCTATATACAATTTGCAGGGAACCCACCATACACACAACACCAGGTGAACCCAACGTATGTACATTTCAATGGGCAGGGAACACACCACCCACACAACACACGATGAACACAACCTATGTACACATCTTCCGGCCTCATAACAGTCTGCGCATTTTTGCGCGCGTCCTTGCAGCGGGCCCCTCACACGGGGTAACCCCGGGTGGCGGACCGTAAGGTGGCAATTGTCCGTCCCGGAGTGAGACCTCATCCGATGCCGCGCGACCGTCGGTATCCCCAGGAGGGGTGGTCGGGCGTGAGCCCGTCAGTCCTGATGCACCTGGAGGTGGCACGGCCGGCAAGGCATTAGGTGAGAACGACGGAGACGGACCCAGTGAGTCGGTCGACCCCCCACACGTTTGGCCACGCATGTGTGAAGTGGGTTTGTGTACCGCAACGAGGGGTTTTAACCTAGAGGGGTGCACGAACCATCGCCGCTTCCCCCATTTAATGCGCACGCACTGTGGTCGCAAAACTTCGACCACCTCCACAGGGCCCCGCCACGGCCGCGCCAGCTTAGGGGAGGTAGCCAGGGGCACTTGGGGACAGTGCAACCATGCCTTGTCCCCCGGCTTCCACTGTATCACGTGCGCCCGACCCAGCCTGAGGCGCTCATTCGCTTTTTGACGGAGGTCCGAGTTTAGCATAGCAGCATCCCGCGCCTCTGTTAATTTGGCCAGATTAAATTTGACGTGGTCAGCCAATTTAGTTTTCCCTTGCGGGTCGGGGATCTGCAGCTGGGCGCGAACAGGCGGGTCGGGTTCACGACCGTACATGAGGTAAAAGGGGGAAAATCCCGTAGCTGCATGGGGTGCCATCCGGTATGCCGCCAAGACCCCTTGAATATGCAGGTCCCAGTCAGTCTGCGAGTCCGAGACCTGCTGTGACATCATTGACGTAATGGTGCGATGCAGGCGCTCGACCATTCCGTCAGTTTGCGGGTGATACGGGGAGGTACGAATTTTCTTCGTGCCTAAGAGGTCACAGACTTGTTTGAGTAATTTACCGGAAAAATTTCTGCCCTGGTCGGTCAGCAACCGCTCCGGAGCACCTTTGTCCAGGACGTATCCCTGAACAAAGGCCTCCACGATGGCTGCTGCCGACTGGTTGGCAAGGGGCCAGGCCATAGGCCAGCGCGTAAAATCCTCGACACATGTCAACAAATACCTATTGCCCCTGGGGGTGGCGGGAAATGGGCCCAAAATGTCCAGCGCGACAAGCTCATTTATTCTGGATACTTTGATCGATTGCAAGGGCGGGTTAGACTCCCGCGCCGGCGGTTTCCGTTGCGCACACCGAGGGCATGATCCCAATAGATCCCCAACATCCCTCGTCATACCAGGCCAAAAAAAATCAAGTTGTAGCAGTGCAAGAGTCTTTTGGGTCCCCAGGTGTAATAGGCGCTCATGCGCGGCCCACACCACCTTGCCTCGCAACTCAGAAGGGACCACCAGCCGATGTCGCTGGGATTTGCCGTCCCAATGCATCAGCAGACCTTGCACCATTTCCCATGCATCCGAATCACCCTTCACCCGCCCAGCAGCTGTAGTGCCATCGGTAACGTAGACCGCTTCTCTCTCGGCGCCGATGTGAGGGCGGCGAGCGCGTCGCCGTCGAGGAGCGCCGGCAGCACGCAGAGAGCCTCCTCATCGGACCATTTCGCCATCTCCTGATGGGCGAGGAAACGTCGGCGAAAACCGGCCCAGTCCCCCTCTGCGCCGATGAACTCCTTCAGCGGGGCAGTCTCTGATGAAGCGCAGCGGTCGTTGTGGACTCCCGCAGGCTGATGTCACCACCACTCGGCTGTGCGTCGGTGCGAACGGCCGATGGGATCGCCTGTCGCGCTTGTGATGACGTTGCAGCTTCAGCGACGGCGATGTCGGAGCGGATGTCTAGGCTGGCCACGCCCCGAACAGCTGTAGCGTCGATGGCGGGAATTTCAAATTCGGACTGCTCCGAAATGGCGGGAAGGCGCCCTGGTCGTTGGCTCGCCTCGCCCCGTGTTGGATCACCGGCCCCTAGTCGCGTGATGGTCTCCAGCGTGGCGGCAGCGGCATACAGCAGCTCCGCCAGCCTCCCGTGAGCCAGCCGTAACGCGTCTGGCTGCGGCCCCTCTTCATTTCGATGCCCCGGTAAGGAGGCGTCAGGCCCCGGCTGCACCTTGTCTTGTGGAGCCGTCTCGGGCTCGACGATCTCGGCAGTGTCTTCCTCCTGCGGTACTTTGGCCCGCGCTGTTTTCCGCGTGTCCATGTTCGAATTACTTCTGACACCAGTTGAAGTACCGGTGAAGACGCTTGACGCCGAGGTTGAGGCACACGTATATTTATTTCACAGTATGACAGTGGGCATATACACTCTCGAGGGGGTATCGGCCCCCTCACCCGTATAACTCGGGATACACCCCTAGCTAACTCTGTCCTAGCCCCGAATCCTCCACTAATGGGCTAGGGGAGGCTAACTGGCCCGACACTGGTAAGTCGGGCCCGGTACCCGGAGTTCCAGACCAGCTCTTACAAGAGCACCGGCTCTGGCTTTCGGGACCACGCCGCTGGCTCAATCCTGTCCGGCCCTGAAAAGGACATCGAACCAGGGGAGTCCAGGGCTCTATCTAAGACGTCTTCAATCTTCTTCCCTTAGCTTAAACATAACTGCCGAGCCCTTTGAAACATCCCCTTTTATACCCAACCCCTCCCTGAGGGGTGGGGCCCCGGGGGATCATAACGTTCGAACCAGCCCCCCCCGGGTGTCTGGCTCGGACGTCGTAGAGAGCACTTGCTCGTGCACTTACGTAGCCCCGCCCACTGTGTTTGTTTTCCATAGGCTGCCATGCATAACGGGCCCTCTCTTTAACACCCCTACAGATGCACAAATAGAAGCCGACACGAAAATCTTGGAAGACATTGAGACTACAAATCGAGTCATTTGTATCCTTTATGCACCTGCCTGTACTGGAAAGACCTTTGTTTTCAAACTGCTCCTCGCTAAGGCTCGCAAGAGAAATTGTTCTAGCTGTGGCATCAGGGATTTCTGTGTAAGTCGATGTGTGTGTGAGTCGATGTGTGTGTTTGAGTCCATATGTGTGTGCGTTTAGGTCCATGTGTGTGTGTAAGTCGATGTGTGTATGTGTCTTTTTTTCCCGAGCAACGCGGTGTCTGTAAGCCCAAGTGTGCGTGTCAGTCCATGTGTGTGTGTCAGTCGCTGTGTGTGGTAGTCGATGTGTGTTAGTCGATGTGTGTGCATGGCTCCATGTGAGTTTGTAATTCAGTGTGTGTGTCTATGTGTGTCAGTCGATGTGTGTGTGTACGTCGATGTGTATGTTTGTGAGTCCATATGTGTGTAAGTCAATGTGAGTCCATATGTGTGTGTAACTCCATGTGTGTGTATCTAAAGTCCATGTCTGTGTGTGTGAGTTCATGTGTGTTAGTCCATATGTGTAAGTCCATATGTGTGTGGAAGTCGATGTGTGTGTGTACATCGATGTGTATGTGTGCGAGTCCATATGTGCGTAAGTCAATGTGTGTGAGGCCATATGTGTGTGTAACTCGATGTGTGTGTATCTAAAGTCCATGTCTGTATGTGCGATTCCATATATGTATGTAGGCCAATGTGTGTGTGTGAGTCTATGTATGTGTGAGTCGATGTGTGTCTCCTTTTCGCCCGGGCAACGCCGGGTACTTCCCACTAGTAAAGCTATAAATCTTTAGAAGTCGCGATGTAGAAGCAGATTGATATCCTCTTCGGAATCAACAGCTTCTGTGGTGACGGTCGCCCCTGCGTCTACGTCACATGTCACGCATGACGTCACGGAGGAGGCGCGCGTCTGTTACATCACGATACGCCTTGCCGCGCTATCCAGGGCTGGGATTCTCCAAACACTGACGCGTTCGTCAATCACTCTGCGACCTTAAAAGGAAAATATAAAATATAAACGGCGAAGTTTTTGTCTTGCAGTGGCCCTCATGCACACATATGACGAATGTGCTGACGTGTTTTATTTGAACTGCATCACCAAAGTGTAGCCATATGTCTGAAGGCAGCTTCAAATGAGTAGCGAGTGCGGTGTAAACATCGATATCTACTGACTGTAGTAGCAACAGCAATTACATGTCATCAAGACCAAAATGTGACATGTCAACGAACTCGCATTACTTTTGTTAATTCCCGCTCATGATCAATAACAGGAGCAAATATATGAACCATTCCTGGGCCTCTCATCGGTCGACTCCGCCTTGAACATGAGTAGCTGGTAGTGTGTAAACATTGCCACTGGAGAGACAAAGGCGGTCGGGTATGGTCCGGGTCAACCAGCTCCTCGTGTGCCGTGCCGGCCTTCAAAGGCGCTCGCTAACAGCACTTGCCCGTACGTAGCCAACCGTGCTAATCGGAGGTGTATATATTCCCATACATCTTGTTAAAAGATATGCGGGGGATCTTTGTTTGGTGCCCCCCCCCCCCAGAACCGCTCCCCCAACACCCCAAGAAGCCCTCCCCACCGACCTCGGGACCCCCATTGGAACTCACCCCCAACCACCCCCCCGATCAACTCCCAGACCGTGCTCCTGTGATGTTCCCGTGGTATTTATGGCCTCAAAAAGTTTCCTCCAAGATGGCCACGAGCTACTCGCAACACAAGGTTGCGGCACATGCTACTTCCAACACTGCGGGTGGCTGGCTCCCAGTACATCAAGTGTGCAATGAGAGTATCAGGGCCGATGTCTTGGGTAGTGGCGCTTCTTCAGAGCACGTCCCCGCTTTCGAGGCAGCGTTCAGGATGAATGTAGCAAAGATTTATTAACCGATGCCAATACACGCCCCCGCAATATTCTGCCTCATCGCAACGAAGAAGAAAACACCGATAATATAAAATAACATTTTATTATTTAAAACAGACCCGATGAGATTTGAGCTTCATTCGTGGTGTTTCACAGCTATGATTCTATGCAGATTCATCAAAACACTGAGATGTGGCCCTGCCTGGCCACAAAACTGAGACAAAGGAACAAATGTATTAGGGACCACTTGCAGGTTAATGGGTGGGTATGGTGGCGCAGTGGAAACACTTGTGCCTCACAGCAAGATGTCCAACTGGGTTCAGTTCTCGACCCGAGCGCCTTTGCGCGTGGAGCTTTTGTCCGTTTCTTCTCCCTGGTATGCCACGGGTTTCTTCTGGCTATTCTAGTTTCCTCCCATAGCTGAAACGCCATACAGTGTAAATGGTATTGGCCAAACATCGTTATACTGGAAAAATGACCTGCTAATAACTCAACTGGGATTAAATTCAGAGGCAGATCACCCCTGATGTGCAAACTGGGCAGGATCCTCTTTATTAAAGAGTCTTGAGACTCAATGACGCTTTTCTGAATAATAATGCTATACATGCTACGGAGGAAAAGTGGGCTTGGGCAGGACCCATCACTAATTGGGATGAACGCGAGTCGGGAACAATAACGGGAGCGGCAGGCAAAGAATGGAACACGTGTGAGAGGACATCATCCACTGAGAAAAGAGCCAATGAAGGATGAAATCAACTCGTGTGCAGTTGCTGGATTGCTTGTTGCAATGCGGGATCATGAGACGTGGCTTTGGAGATCTTCATCTAGCAGTAGACTGATCACATCCTATAATGATGGTGAATGTTTGATCTTCATCACAAACAAGATAACTCAGCTGTAGAGCGAGTGGCTCGCAATTGGAAGGTTCCGAGTTCAATTCCTTGTTGAGATTTGGCTTAGCCCATCATCCCTCATGGCTGGGTTCGAAAAAACAATTACCACTTTGTAGCGACGATCAACAGTGGTTGTCCTACACATAGACTCACCCCTGCCACAGCAATGAGGCATTTCAACTACTTGCTAAGGGCTGTGAATAAGAGATGAGCACCAATACCTCTCGGCACATTTGAGCAGCAAATCACAAGATTCCATGCGACTGCGGCTACACGTCAAGGCAGTAGATAGGCGGGTGGCATCAGCCTGAGACATTCCACACAAAGACCCAGCCCAAGAACCCTTTGACCAGACCCCATCAGGCTTTTGCCGAGTCAGTCTATGTGAAACAAAGTGGAAGAGGAAGTGAACGCTCCAGGTTATTCCGTGTCCACTTGAATCTTTCCACTTTCCACCTCAGCCTCTTCGGTCTTAATATCTCCAGACGCATCTGCCGCAAAGCAAATACACAAACGCCTTCAAGTCACTGGCGATCGGATAAATAAGAACATGTACAATGTGCAAAGTAGTCAACTGGTATTGCGCTTAACATCATTGCCCCACTTCCGCAGGACCCTCCTGAAGAAGGAATTTGAGCCTTAGTGAGCAATTTTCTTTGTAAATAAAAGCATAGTAACCCCAATGATGAAACTGTAGGGGACCTACAGATTTATTCAAACCTGACAGTGTGGGATAGGCGTGCACGTGACTCGCGATCACCACGTGCAGCACTGGATATTCCACGATGGTCTTGCCTCGCAGGTTCTCCTGCAGGGAGAGGTCTGCCAAGAACTCGTGGTACCTGCAAGAGATGGCGGCGCAGGAGGGGTGTATACACCCAGTTTGTCAGTGCGTGAGCCCCCAAATACAAAAGCGAAATCGTGAAACTTCCACTCAATTCTCTCGGGACATGACTCGACTTAGGGGGAGCATAATACTCGATTCCAGGAGAGGGAGTCGCCGCACACTCTTCTGCCGACGCGCGCATGCACGTGCACTAGTTTGCACTAGTTTCCCTTTTTCTTCCTGATGACGATCGCTTGTGTTGTGATCGAAACGACGTATTTTTGATTTACTTTCATTTTTTACATCTACGTGACTTACCGGAAGATCCAAAGAATATAGTTTGCATTGCTTCGCTTGCGTCCAACCCCGGTGCACAGCTGAACTGGGCTCGCTGCACTTAAAGGGGGCGTGGTCCGCATTTGGTTGCCAATTTACACTCCCTCATCTTTTAGTCAAAGTTTAGAGTTCTTGCTCATCTCCCGTTTACAACGATGCAGAGCCAGTGGTGGGAATTCCACATTCAAATGGCAAGGATGAGCCCTATTCACAGTACATTGTTGGTCTTTCCCACAAAGTGGAACTAATTGTATCGTCCTGGAGGGATGATGGGTTGATGTAAACTAACAACATTCCAATTGCGAGCCGTTCCCTCTGCCGCTGAGTGGCCGCCTAAGTGGATTACGCAGTGCGTCTGTGTGGCAGCTACAGGACCGTGAGCACCGAGGAGGGAAGGCGCACTTGTGTGTGCAAACGCGCAGTCGAACCTCGCGGCATTGGCCGGCTGGCACTCCTCCTTCATGAAGAGCCTCACGCTGCGTGCATGCTCGCGGTTGTACTCCCTCAGCCTGCACATAGCAAAACCGCAAAACACACACACGCACCGGGGGGTGGAGGCCCAGGCCAAGCGACTGAGGGCTGTGATCATCACAACACTAGTTTAACGTTGTCATCACCCCTCGCTGGGGATAATGGCGACTGGGCTTGCTCACCCAGGAAAGCCTCACCGGGCGTCAAGAACTGTTTCTCAGGAAATGGTCCTGGCAGGACCATTCCATATAAGCCTATAAAACACTGAAATACAGAACACAATTGATACGTGTTGTTTTCCCTCATTATAATACGATCTGTGCTTTGCAAAGACTGGGCTCCACCATAGCAGTGTAGTATGACAACAACTGGATCAGGGCCACTCATCAAGTTGAACATTCATCTTCACAGGACACAAAGAACTCCACTCTTGACTGGAATTGTAGGCAAATATCTCAATGCATGAACCTCTTGACAAAAGGAGTCCTAAGACTCAAATAGTCTCTCCTGGATGAATATGTAATAAAGCACTTTCACGACGAATGTTGACTGGCGTCTTTTATTATTAATGACGACTGCACAGCTCCACTCTCTCTCCGGATGGCGTCCCTCTCTCTCTCTCTGTTGCCGTAACGCGCGCTCTCCCTCTTCCACCGTCGCGGCATGTCTCTCTCTCCATGCTCGCCGCTGGCTGGCGGCGCGCTGGGAGGAGAGAAGGCTTCGCTGGCAGAGCCCGCCACGTGACCGGTGGCGAGTAGAGGTAGGCGATGATGTAGTCTGGACTCCAGGCTCCCCACACCGACCCAGAGTCCTCTCACTGCCTCTCCTTATATTGCTCTCGGCGGAGATAAGCTCCGCCTCTAGCCACACCACACCCCCTCCTAAAACCTTCCCCGATGGCTCCCGTACGTACCCACGAGCTCCGCCCGTTACCTTTGGCCCAGATGGAACCCTTCCTTCTGATTGGATATTAGTTACCCAGCAGTGACTATGCAATTACCCCTCGTCGTCCCTTAGATGGCGCTCTCTCATTACAAATACAAGATATTATCACGTCATCCTTTTGGCAATTGTAAGTTCTTATGTCAAAAATGTCTATAGTTACCATTTTGTCTAAACCACAATTTGATGCTAAGCTGTTGATTCTGTATAATTTCACTTGCAGTTGTATTAGACTCATACTTACATACGAGTGTAATGATGGGCCTAAATCCAATTGAATGTTTCTGTGAATTAACATCCCTTTGGGTCATTTCATTTCACGAGACAAAACCAGTTTCACTGGGTGATTCACGTGTGCAGCAGGATCGACGAGGGCAGCCACGGTGGCGAGATGTTAACTTCCTCGCCTGATAAGCAGTAGGTCGTGGGTACGATCCCAACCCTGGCACCTGCATATTTTGAGTTTGCATGTCTCTCTCCCCGTGGTCACGTAGATATTTCTCTGGGTCCTCGAGTTTTTCTCTCCACATTTAGAAACAAGTGTTTAGAGTATTTGGCCACGATAAATTTCCACATGATACGCACTTTGTTGAGCTATCATTTGTGGCCTGCCTCTTAAAAATATTTATATAGCTCAGTGGAATTTACCTCGTAAAATATTTATTTTTTATAGTTTTATAGGCATGAGTGGTCTCCACAAGCCCAGAAAATAAAAGGAATAAAAGCACTAACTAGATGGTGCCAGTTTTATGGATCTCTGTGCGAGTCTATGGGTCTTTGTGATAATCTATGGGGCCTCTATACGAGTCTCAGTACACATGCTGGGACATTGCGGCGTGTCTGCTGTGCAGCAGCTGCAGAAGCTGTGGGGCCTGGCGGAGGGTAAAGAGCATTGGGAGTGACATGCGGTGGTACCAGTGGCTTTTGTATTTAGATGTCTGGATCTCTGTCTTGGTATGTGGATGATTAACCAACAGCTTCTCTCCCGCACGGTACGATGCCATTCTGAGTGGGACCCCTGGATAACTTTCCAGCCTGCACGCTCTCCTTCTCCACTGTGACATTCTATGCACCCATTATTGTCCTCACCTTTGTCGTGTGACTGGCTCTACATGGTCAGTCCCCACGTAGCGAGTCAACAAATCGGCGAGGCTCTGGCTCCCGGCCACCCTGAATACATAGACACACACGGACACCAAACACCGGACACCAATGCTAAGCTCTGCACATTCCCTACAGATCAATGCACTCTTGCTTTGTTTGCTTGGGAAACGATGATGGAATGAAAAACAACAATAGTCAGTTGGATATTACACGTGGCATCATCGCCCCTACAACAGCCTGTACCTGCGAAACACAGCAGCGCCGTGTGCTAATGTGACGTGCGATGCCTTGTATCACAGTATGACGTCTGTGATGCTGCAAGTCAGTGCGATGCCGCGTGTCAGTATGATGTGTGTGGTCCGGCAAAAACAACCACTCCCTACCTCCTTAGTGGTGCCGGATGGTGACGATGTGTTGGTTGGGAGCAAAGCCAAGGGGCGGGGGGGGGGATTCCAATCAGCTGTTCACCTCATGGTGCTCCTAGCCACCACAGCGGCCAACAGGAGTTCTGGACGGGTGCGAGGCACTGGTAACCCCTCCACCTTCAATTCAATTACCATGAAACCACATGATAAAATCGAACTAAGCATGTTCCGGAGGCGTGTATGACGTCTCCTGGCCAAACCCCATTTGGCGGAGCCAGGAGACTCAACCTGCAACCTCTGGGTTCTTCCACAAATGGCAAAAAACCACTGCGAGTGCCCACATGGAATGTTCTAATGTTCACTGTGGAGGCTGCCAATCCTTTGTAAGGAGCTGGACCAGTATCGCCTGGATCTGTGGAATTCAGGAGGTCCGGTGAGCTGACTCTGGCTCCAGTATATTATATGGGGGCTGGATAGTCCTCTACTCAGGGAAGAAGACTAGGGAGTGGCTCTTATTCTGAACAATAGAATAAAGGGGGCGTCGAACCATGGCGGTGAGGTGTGGGAAGCTGTAAGTTCTAGGCTACTGTGGGCTCGCCTCCCCATCAACGGCAGGCAAGGAATGGTGGTGGTGGTGGCTTATGCCCCTATCGAAGATGAAGATCAGTGGAGGGATGCAGACAAGGCCAATGGGTCACATGCCTTTAATGACCTCCTGTCACAGGTGCGAGCTAAAGTGGCCCCTCAGGAGATCATCCTGTTGAGTGACTTTAATGTCCGAGTGGGTCATGACATTGGAACCTGGGCTGGAGTGATTAGAAGATCTACTCAATAACAATCGTAAGAGGCTGCTCGACATTTGTCCAGCCCATCGGCTTGTAATTACCAACACCCTGTTCTGGAATCAAGGCATCCAAACAACATCATGAATGCACGTCAGGTCAGACCAAGAACATCTGCTAGACGATATAGTGACAAAACATCAGATGCAGGCCCATCTCCTTGATACCAGGACCTACCGTGGAGCGGATCTGCCCACTCACCATCAGCTTTTCATCTGTAAAATGCACCTGACATTATTCCACTGAGGTGGTTTGGTGTACATCTAGTACCCCATTCAAACTCACAGTGGCATGGTCTCAGCTAGCTGATGAATGTTTCAAGCGAGAATTTCATCATCGCTTGCAGCTGGGGTTAGCATTGTCCCCCTCCTTCTGATGCCGAGAGGAAACGGGTGAGATTTAGGACTGTGGCTCATGCAGCTGCAATGGCTGCTTTTGGTACACGGTACAAACCTCCACAGAGACCCTGACTAACGGAGGTGTTCGGCTGGTTGAGAAAAAGGGACAGCGCAACACCTATTCACCATCCTTAGAAGAATCAAAGGTGATCAAATTTCTGACCCCAGAAGAAGAAGTTTGCAGGTTTGCTGAGCATTTCTGTGAGGTCTTGGGGGAGGGCCCTTCAGCCCAGAAAACACCATGGGGCAAAGTGGGGATGATCCTGCTCAGGCTGCGGTGCCTCAAATATTGGAATAAGTAATCACCCTCTGTGAGTGGCTGGAAGTCTGAGACCAGAAAAAGCGCTGGGCAGAGATGATCTCCCAAGCTAACTGCTGAGGGAGGGGTGGCGATAGTATGCAGACTGCCCTATATGACATAATTATAACAGTCTAGACCAATGGATGGGTTCCACAGGATTGGAAAGATGCCCTGGTGGTACTCAAACCCCTCAACAGATCACACAAAAAGTATGGCTATCGATCAAAGTAGATTTGACAAAGAAACCCACTCGCAATGCGAGAGAAGAGATGGAGAAATACAGCACGGAGAGAGAATGGAGCAGCGGAGAGAGCATGGAGACAGCTGGCTGGCGCAGCCTGAAATAAGGGCGGGAGAGGCACCACCGGGTGTCTGCGTGAAGCTGGCAGCTGCATGCAAAGGGAGAGAGCATGGAGAGAGCACAGAGCAGTGGAAAGAGCCTGAGCCAGCGCGGCCCTGAAGGAGGGCAGGAGAGACACCACCGGGTGCCCGCATGAAGCTGGTAGCTGCACGCCAAAGGGGAGAGGCGCCAATGAGTGCCAGCAAAGATGGCAGCTGCCTGCAAGGAGAGAGCATGGAGCAGTGGAAAGAGCCTGACCAGCTGCCCATGAGGAAGAGAAGAGCGCCGGCGAGGGCACCGTGGGTTTGACCCACACACACACCGACCAGCAGCAGCTGGGAACCAAGACAAGAGTGAGGAACGGCGACTAGCGAGCGCTATCTGACAACGGAATCATCGCGCACCGCCTATGCGAGCATCGCGCTAACTCAAGCAACCAGCAGAGGAGAGAGCTGGTAATGCCAAGAGGAAGGGTGTTAGCGCATGCAAGAGCGCCGTGTGTTCAATACAAACACATGCCGTCCCTGCCGGGAACCCGAGGTATTTTCAGTACAAGGAACGCTGTACCGCGTAAGCCGCCAAGTCACCAAGTGGCAAAGAAGACACACACATACCGCGCATATAGGGACCAATAAGATTGTTCCAAAAAGTTATCATTGTGTTTCAAGAAGGGTTGCCATTCCAAGGTGGTGCGTTAAATATCAGCTGATTGTTAAAAGCATTTCTGCCATTCGAGTTACATGAATACGATTGTTTAGAAGTATTTTAGTCATTTGTTTTCGTTAATTGCATAATCTTACCAATGAATTGATAACTACTTTTGCTTTAGGCACATGTTTGTATGAATATTGTCACATTAATATCAAGGACTTTTTCCTATCACCGTGTATGCTCGCTCAACTCTGAGGAATTCGCCGATTGTTCTGTTACCCAGTTTAACAAACGTAACCATTGAGGGTTAAATGTAAGGATTAATGAGTAGGACATCGAGGAGAACCGTGTTAACAATTCTGAGCATAAGTGTTCGCATGTTAAAATGTTTTTAGATATCAAAGTTGCTTAACACACAAGAGTCTGGGTGGTGCCTTTCTAAGTTCATGCATAATAATCTTAATTATAAGAACTGTTTCCTGCTGTGAGATCTGAATTTTAAGACCCGACATGAACACATTAAAACATAATCAGTAAAAGTTTAAACGAGAATCATTGTATTATCACGACTGATAATACAACCCTAGACAACGAAGCAGAGCCTAATAATCACAATTACATACACTCGCATAACTTCATACAATTACACCTTCATTGTATTATTCCGGTTGATAATACAACCCTAGACAACGAAGCGTAGCCTAATCATCTAATTGCATACATTAGCATAAGCACATACACTTGCATAACTTAATACAATTACACCTTCCTAAATAGCATAACGCCATTTTGCATAATTACACAAATTTGCATACATTTGGAATTACACATTGTAAAATTTTCATTAAATGTTATTATTTTTCTATTTTTTTCAAGACCGAATATATACAACACAGTGGAGAGAGTAGAAAAATTCTAGATTTGAAGCTTTCGTGACTGCAAGGATTCATATTCTCAGGTTTTTCGGCAAAGTCACGTAGGTAAAAAATAAAAACCAATAAAAGTAAAATAAAATAAAAATCACGACGTTTCGGAGGCAACACAAGCTTCCGTCTTCAGGTGGAACCGGCACAGCCCGACAGCTGTATCAAGTAAATGAGAGATTACAGGAGATACCACTCCGTATATATAATGGTTGAGGGGGGGGGCAGGAATGGCCCACTTTTTATTATTATGGTAAGGGGCGGCTTGAGACTATTAATAGACTGTATAACAAAAGACTGAGCCTTTATTATGGAGAGGTTCGGTTTGTGACTACGCCTAGCCTACATAATAAAAGTGTGAAAAAAGAAAGCTAAACCTGGTGAAACAACTGGCTGTCCATCAGTAACCTGCAATAGTTTTCTGTCAAATAAGATGGTTCAAATAAGTGTAGTTAAATCTTTTTTGCATGGTTAATCACATCTTTCCAATGATTAAAGGTGCGGCTTGAGACTATGAATAGACTGCATAACAAAAGACTGAGTCTTTATTATGGAGAGGTTCGGTTTGTGACTACGCCTGGTCTGCATAACAAAAGTGTGAAAAAAGAAAGCTTAACCTGGTAGAAAGCTAAACATAGTAAAACAAAACTGGCTGTCTATCAGTAACCTGTAATAGTTTTCTGTCAAATAAGATGGTCCAAATAAGTGTAGTTAAATATTTTTTGCATGGTTAATCACATCTTTCCAATGATTACTCAGTTTGTAACCATCATCACGGTTGAAATTATGTCTGTGTTTGTATATTTGTATGGCTTCGTGTACAAACCTTTGATGGTAGCCAGGAGGTTTGCAGAGATCATTGCTACAACTCTGTGGGCTCTCATGAAATTGTCTTTTCCGAGACCAAGGTTGCTCTGCAAACCTCCTGGCTACCATCAAAGGTTTGTACACGAATCCATACAAATATACAAACACAGACATAATTTCAACCGTGATGATGGTTACAAACTGAGTAATCATTGGAAAGATGTGATTAACCATGCAAAAAAGATTTAACTACACTTATTTGGACCATCTTATTTGACAGAAAACTATTACAGGTTACTGATAGACAGCCAGTTTTGTTTTACCATGTTTAGCTTTCTACCAGGTTAAGCTTTATTTTTTCACACTTTTGTTATGCAGGCCAGGCGTAGTCACAAACCGAACCTCTCCATAATAAAGGCTCAGTCTTTTGTTATGCAGCCTATTCATAGTCTCAAGCCGCACCTTTAATCATTGGAAAGATGTGATTAACCATGCAAAAAAGATTTAACTACACTTATTTGAACCATCTTATTTGACAGAAAACTATTGCAGGTTACTGATGGACAGCCAGTTTTTTCACCAGGTTTAGCTTTCTACCAGGTTTAGCTTTCTTTTTTCACACTTTTATTATGTAGGCTAGGCGTAGTCACAAACCGAACCTCTCCATAATAAAGGCTCAGTATTTTGTTATGCAGTCTATTCATAGTCTCAAACCGCACCTTACCATAATAATAAAAAGTGGGCCATTCCTGCCCCTTTCCCCCCCCCTCAACCATTATATATACGGAGTGGTATCTCCTGTAATCTCTCATTTACTTGATACAGCTGTCGGGCTGTGACGGTTTCACCTGAAGACGGAAGCTTGTGTTGCCTCCGAAACGTCGTGATTTTTATTTTATTTTACTTTTATTGGTTTTGATTTTTTACCTACGTGACTTAACCGAAAAACCTGAGAATAAGAGTAGAAAAATGTCCATACCTGGGCAGTGTGCTTATGACCAGCTACGGTTTGAGGTCTCACTCCAAATCAGTTGGGAGGCATTATCTGCAAAATGCTGTGTGGAAGTGACTTGGTCTGTCACTCCACACGAAACTTCAGTCTTCTCGGCCACAGTCATGCCCTCCCTTCTCAATGCTTGCAAAACATGAACCCCCCCCCCCCCCGAAATGAACATCTTCACTGGTTAGAAACATTCAGGCTGGTGTGCCTATGATCCATCATGGGTTTAACCAGGTTGAATTGTGTGAGGAACTCACAAATCCTTGAAAAATCTGGACAATGTCCCATCAGTGAGCCCCTCCAGCAGGCAAGGCTGCATTGGCTGGGTCAAGTAGCCCACACAATTTTTTTCGGCCAGATAGAGGGGGTTAAATGGGCACAGCATGGGCGAGAAAAGAGATCAAATGATATGGTATGAGGATAAGGATCTAAGTGGACTTGCCAATGACTGGTACCAGTGGTGTCAAGATTGGCCTCTGTGGAGGTGGCTCGTGAAGGACTCTGCTCGTGAGTTGGAGGCAGTCGCCATTCAGCAACAATGGAGGGCAGAGGAGCAATGGTCACAACAACGAGCAGAGAGCCGGGTGGCTAAAAAATTGCAAGTTGGAATAGTAGAGGGTACAGCTGATGCATCTGCCAATCGTCTCAGTCATGCAACCGATGGCACCTGGGTCTGTTCTGTGACTTCCAGGCCTTAAAGTGCACCTAGCCTGGGACAAGTGTTGCGGTGACGCCACCGCCACTTAGTGCTGAATGGCAGTTGTTAATGATGCATCAGTGTGGCGTTGTATATCAGTGTGATGTGACGCCATGTGTCAGTGTAACATGTTACGACATACGTAATGACGTGTGTCAGTGTGACGTGTGACGTGCGTGACGCCTCCTGTCGCAGTGTGACGTGCCAGTGATGCGTGTGCCGTGGTGCATTTACCTGCGCTCCGTGAACTCTGCCCGACTCTGTGGGAAGATGAGCTTCACGGTCCAGAAGAAGCTCTTCTCCCTGCGCACCACCCAGCCCAGCACGGGCAGCAATCAGCACAGACACACTCACAGTGCTACACGGGGGACGCTGCTCTTCGTAAAGAATATAAACGCTAAACACTCACGCACTCGATGCAACTGGTAATCGCTAAACGTCCCAGTACTGAACATGTACCTGCAAATTAGTCAATTGGAATTATACATAGCAGCAACATTGCTCCCTACTGCAGAATCTTGGCAGGACCCCACTGAAAATGAGTCTTGCTTTGTGAACAAGCATCGCCATAAACATTTGTATTTTTTGCGTTTACTGGTAACATCATTAACACACATGGTAAAAACCTGGTGACCGGTTTCAAACACGGACACAGCGTGAGCAATAAATGCAACAATGTTTACTTTTGTTACTGAGACACAAAGGGAGCTGCTACCACAGCGGTGAAGTAATGGTCAGCGTGCCGGACTCGCGACCTAGAGGGTACCGGTTGGACTCCATGTCCCGGCAACGGTGTAGGTTTCTTAAATCCCTCCCCGCACATGTCCGCCCAACATCAGTACGATGGGTTCACCACAAACCCCGTTGGTGTTCAGGTTGCGTGCGGTGTGGGTAGAGGCGACTTCAGGTGGCGGTGACGCGGGCTCAAATACAGTGGCCGCCCCAATTATTACCCAGTGTAACGACCGCGATAACATGACGCACCGTCTGCTTCTCAGTGGACGTTAAAGATCCCATGGCATGATTCGCAGGAGGGGGCCGTTGTGTGATAGCATCGGAGTCCAAATTTTCCAAGTTTGGAAATTACACCGCAAATTACTTAATCGGGACATCAGCAATCATCGACCCCTACCGGTAGACTAAAGCGCCAGATCACTCCAGCAAATGAGACTCATCCTTGTCTCTTGAGGCATCACCAAAACAAAACAAAAAATGTTAAACCTCTTCCTACCAAAATTCCACGAGACGTGTCTACGGAAGCCAGCAACGTTTTAGTGGGGGGGGGGGGGGAGTGTTTAACATGAGGACAAGAGGGGTCGTCCCGTCTCACCGCTTGTGGAAGAAGGAGAAGTTGTCGCGGTGCCTCTGCAGGCCGGCGGGCAGCATGCGCAGATCGACGCCATCTCTCCGCGCATAATTCCTCAAGACGCTCACCTGCCGGAAACAAACGTGGGCACAGCAAGAAGGTCCTGGGAATGACTCCTAACTCGGGTGGCTTTCTGCGTGGTGTCGAGTTTGTATGTTCTCTGCCCCTGTGCTGCAGTGGGCTTTCTCCGGATTTTACAGTTTCCTCCCATAGCTTAAAACAACCAATGCAAAAAAAAATACCTGCAAATTACTCAATTGGGATCGCACGCTATACAAAAACTTTTAAAGGACCCTCCCGAAAAAGTCTTGAGACACAGTGAGACTTTTTCGGGTAACCAAGCTTAACAAAGACAGGTGGCAGGAGTCACGTACGGTCTTCCTGTGGCCGTATCCGTGCATCACTGCGTCCCGCGTCGAGTTCTCCACCGCCCGGCCGACATCCTCCAGGAAGCGATAATCTGTGAACCCGCAAAGCGCCACTGCCACACAACAACAAAGCCACTGGCATCACATTGCTCGTCTTATCTACAGTAAAACCATTCTGTTCCGTGCTTGCACAGGACAGTGTGTTCAGCAGCTAAATGGATGTATTGGCAGTACGCCGGTGTGGCCTAACACACCAGTCGGTGGTGGTGAGCGGGGAAAGTAGGTGGTGGTGGGTGGGGACAGTAGGTGGTGGTGGGTGGGGACAGTAGATGGTGGTGGGTGGGGACAGTTGGTGGTGGTGGGTGGGGACAGTAGATGGTGGTGGGTGGGGACAGTTGGTGGTGGTGGGTGGGAGAGTAGGTGGTGGTGGGTGGGACAGTAGGTGGTGGTGGGTGGGGACAGTAAGTGGTGGTGGGTGTGGACAGTAGGTAGTGGTGGGCGAGACAGTAAGTGGTGGTGGGTGGGGACAGTTCGTGGTGGTGGGTGGGAGAGTAGGTGGTGGTGGGTGGGGACAGTTCGTGGTGGTGGGTGGGAGAGTAGGTGGTGGTGGGTGGGGACAGTAGGTGGTGGTGGGTGGGACAGTAAGTGGTGGTGGGTGGGACAGTAGGTGGTGGTGGGTGGAACAGTAGGTGGTGGTGGGTGGGACAGTAGGTGGTGGTGGGTGGGACAGTAGGTGGTGGTGGGTGGGACAGTAGGTGGTGGTGGATGGGGACAGTAGGTGGTGGTGGATGGGGACAGTAGGTGGTGGTGGGTGTGGACAGTAGGTGGTGGTGGGTGGGACAGTAGGTGGTGGTGGGTGGGACAGTAGGTGGTGGTGGGTGGGACAGTAAGTGGTGGTGGGTGGGACAGTAGGTGGTGGTGGGTGAGACAGTAGGTGGTGGTGGGTGGGACAGTAGGTGGTGGTGGGTGTGGACAGTAGGTGGTGGTGGGTGTGGACAGTAGGTGGTGGTGGGTGGGACAGTAGGTGGTGGTGGGTGGGACAGTAAGTGGTGGTGGGTGGGACAGTAGGTGGTGGTGGGTGGAACAGTAGGTGGTGGTGGGTGGGACAGTAGGTGGTGGTGGGTGGGACAGTAGGTGGTGGTGGCTGGGACAGTAGGTGGTGGTGGATGGGGACAGTAGGTGGTGGTGGGTGTGGACAGTAGTTGGTGGTGGGTGGGACAGTAGGTGGTGGTGGGTGGGACAGTAGGTGGTGGTGGGTGGGACAGTAGGTGGTGGTGGGTGGGACAGTAGGTGGTGGTGGGTGAGACAGTAGGTGGTGGTGGGTGGGACAGTAGGTGGTGGTGGGTGTGGACAGTAGGTGGTGGTGGGTGTGGACAGTAGGTGGTGGTGGGTGGGACAGTAGGTGGTGGTGGGTGGGACAGTAGGTGGTGGTGGGTGGGGACAGTTGGTGGTGGTGGGTGGGACAGTAGGTGGTGGTGGGTGGGACAGTAGGTGGTGGTGGGTGGGACAGTAGGTGGTGGTGGGTGGGACAGTAGGTGGTGGTGGGTGGGACAGTAGGTGGTGGTGGGTGTGGACAGTAGGTGGTGGTGGGTGGGACAGTAAGTGGTGGTGGGTGGGACAGTAGGTGGTGGTGGGTGGGACAGTAGGTGGTGGTGGGTGGGACAATAAGTGGTGGTGGGTGTGGACAGTAGGTGGTGGTGGGTGGGACAGTAGGTGGTGGTGGGTGGGACAGTAGGTGGTGGTGGGTGGGGACAGTTGGTGGTGGTGGGTGGGACAGTAGGTGGTGGTGGGTGGGACAGTAGGTGGTGGTGGGTGGGACAGTAGGTAGTGGTGGGTGGGACAGTAGGTGGTGGTGGGTGGGACAGTAGGTGGTGGTGGGTGTGGACAGTAGGTGGTGGTGGGTGGGACAGTAAGTGGTGGTGGGTGTGGACAGTAGGTGGTGGTGGGTGGGACAGTAGGTGGTGGTGGGTGTGGACAGTAGTTGGTGGTGGGTGGGACAGTAGGTGGTGGTGGGTGGGACAGTAGGTGGTGGTGGGTGGGACAGTAGGTGGTGGTGGGTGGGACAGTAAGTGGTGGTGGGTGGGACAGTAGGTGGTGGTGGGTGGGACAGTAAGTGGTGGTGGGTGTGGACAGTAGGTGGTGGTGGGTGGGACAGTAGGTGGTGGTGGGTGTGGACAGTAGGTGGTGGTGGGTGGGACAGTAAGTGGTGGTGGGTGGGGACAGTTGGTGGTGGTGGGTGGGACAGTAGGTGGTGGTGGGTGTGGACAGTAGGTGGTGGTGGGTGGGACAGTAAGTGGTGGTGGGTGTGGACAGTAGGTGGTGGTGGGTGGGACAGTAGGTGGTGGTGGGTGTGGACAGTAGGTGGTGGTGGGTGGGACAGTAGGTGGTGGTGGGTGGGACAGTAGGTGGTGGTGGGCGTGGACAGTAGGTGGTGGTGGGTGTGGACAGTAGGTGGTGGTGGGTGGGACAGTAGGTGGTGGTGGGTGGGACAGTAGGTGGTGGTGGGCGTGGACAGTAGGTGGTGGTGGGTGGGACAGTAGGTGGTGGTGGGTGGGACAGTAGGGGGTGGTGGGTGGGACAGTAAGTGGTGGTGGGTGAGACAGTAGGTGGTGGTGGGTGGGACAGTAGGTGGTGGTGGGTGGGACAGTAGGTGGTGGTGGGTGGGACAGTAGGTGGTGGTGGGTGTGGACAGTAGGTGGTGGTGGGTGGGACAGTAGGTGGTGGTGGGTGTGGACAGTAGGTGGTGGTGGGTGGGACAGTAAGTGGTGGTGGGTGAGACAGTAGGTGGTGGTGGGTGGGACAGTAGGTGGTGGTGGGTGGGACAGTAGGTGGTGGTGGGTGTGGACAGTAGGTGGTGGTGGGTGGGACAGTAGGTGGTGGTGGGTGTGGACAGTAGGTGGTGGTGGGTGGGACAGTAGGTGGTGGTGGGTGTGGACAGTAGGTGGTGGTGGGTGGGACAGTAGGTGGTGGTGGGTGTGGACAGTAGGTGGTGGTGGGTGTGGACAGTTGGTGGTGGTGGGTGGGACAGTAAGTGGTGGTGGGTGGGGACAGTTGGTGGTGGTGGGTGGGACAGTAGGTGGTGGTGGGTGGGACAGTAAGTGGTGGTGGGTGTGGACAGTAAGTGGTGGTGGGTGGGACAGTAGGTGGTGGTGGGTGGGACAGTAAGTGGTGGTGGGTGGGACAGTAGGTGGTGGTGGGTGGGACAGTAGGTGGTGGTGGGTGGGACAGTAGGTGGTGGTGGGTGGGACAGTAAGTGGTGGTGGGTGGGACAGTAAGTGGTGGTGGGTGGGGACAGTTGGTGGTGGTGGGTGGGACAGTAGGTGGTGGTGGGTGGGACAGTAGGTGGTGGTGGGTGGGACAGTAAGTGGTGGTGGGTGGGGACAGTTGGTGGTGGTGGGTGGGACAGTAAGTGGTGGTGGGTGGGACAGTAAGTGGTGGTGGGTGGGACAGTAGGTGGTGGTGGGTGGGACAGTAGGTGGTGGTGGGTGGGACAGTAGGTGGTGGTGGGTGGGACAGTAGGTGGTGGTGGGTGGGACAGTAGGTGGTGGTGGGTGGGACAGTAGGTGGTGGTGGGTGTGGACAGTAGGTGGTGGTGGGTGTGGACAGTAGGGGGTGGTGGGTGGGACAGTAAGTGGTGGTGGGTGGGACAGTTGGTGGTGGTGGGTGTGGACAGTTGGTGGTGGTGGGTGGGACAGTAGGTGGTGGTGGGTGGGACAGTAGGTGGTGGTGGGTGGGACAGTAAGTGGTGGTGGGTGGGACAGTAGGTGGTGGTGGGTGGGACAGTAGGTGGTGGTGGGTGTGGACAGTTCGTGGTGGTGGGTGGGACAGTAAGTGGTGGTGGGTAGGACAGTAAGTGGTGGTGGGTGGGGACAGTTGGTGGTGGTGGGTGGGACAGTAAGTGGTGGTGGGTGGGACAGTTGGTGGTGGTGGGTGTGGACAGTTGGTGGTGGTGGGTGGGACAGTAGGTGGTGGTGGGTGGGACAGTAGGTGGTGGTGGGTGGGACAGTAAGTGGTGGTGGGTGGGGACAGTTGGTGGTGGTGGGTGGGACAGTAGGTGGTGGTGGGTGGGACAGTAGGTGGTGGTGGGTGGGACAGTAAGTGGTGGTGGGTGTGGACAGTTGGTGGTGGTGGGTGGGACAGTAGGTGGTGGTGGGTGGGACAGTAAGTGGTGGTGGGTGGGGACAGTTGGTGGTGGTGGGTGGGACAGTAGGTGGTGGTGGGTGGGACAGTAGGTGGTGGTGGGTGTGGACAGTAGGTGGTGGTGGGTGGGACAGTAAGTGGTGGTGGGTGGGGACAGTTGGTGGTGGTGGGTGGGACAGTAGGTGGTGGTGGGTGTGGACAGTAGGTGGTGGTGGGTGGGACAGTAAGTGGTGGTGGGTGTGGACAGTAGGTGGTGGTGGGTGGGACAGTAGGTGGTGGTGGGTGTGGACAGTAGGTGGTGGTGGGTGGGACAGTAGGTGGTGGTGGGTGGGACAGTAGGTGGTGGTGGGCGTGGACAGTAGGTGGTGGTGGGTGGGACAGTAAGTGGTGGTGGGTGGGACAGTAAGTGGTGGTGGGTGGGACAGTAGGTGGTGGTGGGTGGGACAGTAGGTGGTGGTGGGTGGGACAGTAAGTGGTGGTGGGTGAGACAGTAGGTGGTGGTGGGTGGGACAGTAGGTGGTGGTGGGTGGGACAGTAGGTGGTGGTGGGTGGGACAGTAGGTGGTGGTGGGTGTGGACAGTAGGTGGTGGTGGGTGGGACAGTAGGTGGTGGTGGGTGTGGACAGTAGGTGGTGGTGGGTGGGACAGTAAGTGGTGGTGGGTGAGACAGTAGGTGGTGGTGGGTGGGACAGTAGGTGGTGGTGGGTGGGACAGTAGGTGGTGGTGGGTGTGGACAGTAGGTGGTGGTGGGTGGGACAGTAGGTGGTGGTGGGTGTGGACAGTAGGTGGTGGTGGGTGGGACAGTAGGTGGTGGTGGGTGTGGACAGTAGGTGGTGGTGGGTGGGACAGTAGGTGGTGGTGGGTGTGGACAGTAGGTGGTGGTGGGTGTGGACAGTTGGTGGTGGTGGGTGGGACAGTAAGTGGTGGTGGGTGGGGACAGTTGGTGGTGGTGGGTGGGACAGTGGTGGTGGTGG